CTAATTTTATATTTTATATCCTGTGGTGTATTGTTTAAATATGTGAATGCAATGCTGTTCTTTTTTATTTCTTCTATTTCTCTTTTTTTTCTTTTGTTGTTGTTGATTTTTATTTTTAAATTCTTATAAAATTTATGAGGTAATTAGATGCAATATTGTAATGCACGCTGAAAATTCCATACCTGTACCACAAATACTGTTTGGAATAAAGCTATTATTATTATTATAAAATGGTGCTCAGGAGAAACAAACATGAGAAAATCAGACAGATTTTTGACCAGGAAGAGTATTTATTGATTATATCTTCACACTTCGACAGATTCTGAAACAGTCATACTAACTGGTGTCCAAAAGTTGGCACATTTCTTGACCTAAAGGCGGAATTTCACTCTGTCGACGGAGAGGTATTAATGAAACATTTAGCCATGATGGGAGAATTGCTTGGGAAATCACTCCTGAACAATATTCACACTCACCTTGATCTTTCAACTAACTAAACCTAAGCCATATATTCCACTAGGGAAGCAAAGAAGAAATTATATTTTTATGCAACCCAACTTGTGTGTTATTTGGTTGTTGCTGTTGTAATTGTGTATTTGATACATGTAGGTTGATTTTCTGTAAACTTGGAATTCTAATTTCCCTGTGGTTGTTCGCTTGACTAAGACGCCCAAAAATGGAAGTTTGCTCTGGGATTCCTCTTCTCTTGTGAATTTGATGTCGTTGAACATATGTCAAGTTTGCAGAAAATCAACCCCACAGAACAATACTCAGCTACAACTACAAAAATCCAATAACACACAATAGGAGTTACATACAAACATTATTCAAGAGAGGCAGGATTCATTGCAGCACTCGTACCATGAGGAAAATTGAAGAAAAATAACCCCATGAACGTCTCCCAAAAGGATGGATATCCACAAAACTTCATGAAAAGACATCTACCCTCAACCCAACCAACCTAATCAAAGCTCCAAAAGAAAGCACAAAGAAAATCGCCCTACCTCATATAAAGGACATCTCAGAAATCACTACAAGACTCTTCAAACAAACCAACAAAATCACTTTACTCAGCTCTATTTCGACCAAAAGACTCAACAGCTGGAGAAGATAAAACCAACATCATTTAAAAGAAAAATTGCACAGTTTACTACAAAACACCACATTGACCAAAGTGGACGACTTCTTCGTTTTCACATCCATGAACATAAAACAGCCGTCGACAGACATGATATGCACTCCTTCATATCACTGCGCATACAGACGGCAAGAGTAAACAATAGACACCATAGTCAAATGACCTTGATTTGAACAATCAGATAGCTCAGCATTACAAATGGATGCTAGTCATAATCCTCGTTCAAAATATCTCCTAGATTTGGTTTTAAACTTCTATGTGAAAAATGTGTTGATAGGGAGGAATAAAACATGCATGTGTGGAGGGATAATGACTCTGAAAAAGTATTGCCGGGCTATTGATGGTTATGTACTCAGATGCGACCACTTTATATGAGAAAGTCGGTATAAGTTGTATATAATTGGTGATTTTTTTAGACACTTTCTTCTCGAAATCAAAGCTCTCCCTTAGTAATATATTGCGAATATGCAACCAGTATCTGCTAAGGCTGGAGAAATAGAGAATACATTGGTTTGATATGTCTCTAACCACTTCTATGAGAATCTGGGACCAGCTTTTGCAGCATGTTGAAGATAATATATCCTATATAATTCATTTTTATTACATACGTATCGTAGATACACTCCTCTTTGTAAATTAAGTACCACTTTTCACCTAGAAGAACCTGATTAGCTGTTTCAAGGTCGTCTGAAGTTGGTATCTATTCTTTACTGTTATACCATACAGACAATCACGGATATTCATTCGACTGGGACGACCTTGAAATATTAGACAGAGGAAACACCTAAAACACCAGAGTTTTTGGAAGCAACTGAATCGGTAATTAACAGGCACATATTGACATAGATAAAATTTACCAATCTATAAGAAGAAAATTTCAGGCAGAAAAATTCAAACTTCACATCAAGGAAACCAATCACGATCAGCACAAGTGAACTAGAAAGTATGAGAAAATACACAAAAAAAATGGCTAGTCACTTTCTGGGTTACCAGGAGACAGATAGTTGATAAAGTCGTAGAAGCAGACAATAGAAATATTGCTCAGTATAAAGCAAAATAAGCTTCGCAAATAAACTATCATCCAGAGCTTAGGGGAACACACATCTACATCAAAATCACCAACAAGCGGAAAAAAATGATATGTTGTCACGTGATGTCTGCTTTGTTTTGGCTATGTATATATTGATCGATATTCCATTATAACTCACAATGTATCTTGTCTGTCCATTAACTAAATAAACAATGTATGACCTTTTGTCACAACCAATCAGAATCCAGGCTAAAAGACCTGGTGGACCAAATTAAACAAAATAATATAATTTACAAAATACCCTGCAATGACTGTGACTAAGGTCAAATATATAGGTCAAACTAGTAGATCGGGGGTAATTAGATTGTCGGAACATAAGAATTTTGCTAAGGCTATAATGGTTGACCCTGAGAAGATAAGTAATTTAGAAAAAAAGCTCAGTAACTGCAATGCATGCATTAGCACACAACCACACAATAGGGTGAGAGAGGGTTAAGATTCTTAAAAGTAATCTAGGTAGGTGGAGAGAGAGGTTGATTACTGAATCCTGTCTGGTTCATCAAGTCTACACCCAACACTTGCAACAGAAATAAACTAATGCAAATACCAGAGATATGCATGGAAGATATTATTACCACCAGTCAGTCAAATCAGAGGAGGATAATAAATAATCTCAAAATTCCATTTCAATTCAAGCACATCACAACATTCTAACAAGTTACTTATTTATTATGACTATAAAAACACTCGTCTTATTTCCCATCTGATTGTAATTGATCAATCACACTTGTATTATTATTTCTCAACGTACAATATCCTATTTACTGATTTTTATTGAAATGTCTAATCATCAATTCCACTCATGTATATAAATGAAGCAAGGAAGTTGTGTGAGTGACTTGATATGATTATGAATGACAATGGTTTGTGCTCGAAACGTGGTCATCATTGAATATTACTGTATAACACACTGTGTGATTTATCAAAATAAAATCTTATCCATAGTGGAGTTATACCCTACCACAGTGCCCAAGTTTTATACTTATGTCCATAAATACTATCTGTCTTATTGCTTCATATATGTTAGTTATTTCCTGTAAACTCTTGTATTGTACAGTTAATTCTCACTTCACAACTCTTTCGTACTTTTCCACTGACACTCTTGCGTGACAGTTAATTTTCCTTATTGGAAAATACACGTATCCATTCGTGAACGTGGTGGTGGTCTTTCGATTTTCCTCCTTCACATCAGGACAAATCAACTTCTCAGCAATACCAGTCTGTACGTTATATCTAATTAGCGCATATTTCCACTCGGTGACATCATAATATTGGCGACGACACCATAACAAAAGTTACACAATGGTAACTGTAAACTGTCTGTCTGTCTGTCTGTTTTCGACATAGAACTTTGCACATATGTGCGGCAGTTCAAGTCGCCACAATCCATGTAGCACGCAAAGCAAGAGAAGGAAGTAGAAGAAGAAATGCAACTGTAAACTATAGCAGCTCAAACCGAAATTACCGAGCAAACGGATAAGTGACCTTGACAACGACAACCCTGACCAATCAGACGCCTCTACAGAAACAGCGCATAATTCCAATAAATCGTTTATATAAAAGTAATGCAATGTTAAAAAATAGTTACAAAGTTTAACATTCTCGTATATGTTCCAAAAAAACCTCCCAATTTCTCATAGGAGTCTTCATGGTTATGTTAAACCAAGTGCTGTATATAAACTCATCGAGACAACTGTATATTTTCAAGTATTGGTTTGGTAGGGATTTTGTTTGATTGTATGGAGGATTTCATCATGAGCTGACATCAGTTAGAGAACCACTGGAAAACCAGAAACCAATACTTGAAAATTAATCTGATGCTCACTAGTGACTGGCCCTATTCAGGCAGTTAACCTGGGGTTCTAGTGGGAAGCCGTGACCAGTAGGGTACAGCAGGTTGAAGATGTGACAGTAACTCATCTAAGAAGACATTGCGAAATGGTCGCGCTATGTCGTGAATTGGCAGAAGTTAGAATTCAAGGACCATTGGATCGGGTCCCAGTGGCTCAATGGTCTACGAGCTCGCCTTGTAACCAGAAGGTCCTGGGTTCGAATCCCGGTGGGTGCGTACTGCTGAAGAGTCCCAAACTAGGACGAAACAGCTGTCCAGTACTCCCAGGTTTTCCAGTGGTTCTCTAACTGATGTCAGCTCATGATGAAATCCTCCATACAACAACTGTATATCATTGCATTTCTTGATCCATTCAGCGATCTGACCCGCTTTTTAGGTGACTCCAAAAACTTTCGATGAAATTAGTGCGAGTTCCATCAAAAGGATTGATGAAATCATTTGTATGGTTGACGCCGTGATGAATATAGCCCAGGGTGGATAGCTGACTATAACTACTCCATTCATCTGTAGGAAAAGTTCTTCCAGGCAGCACTAGGCGTTGGATAATAGGCAATAATACACTTGCACTCCGATTAGGGATCGCCTCAATGTATCCTTTCTGGAGGCTGGTGTCATAGATCCCCAATACCTAATAACACAGTCTCATCAACGTGAACGATGACGCCAACTCCTCCAATTACTTGAGCCAGGGTGTTCATTTTCCACGATGATAGGTCTCTGCAGTACTGGTACCATTGCACTGCAGATACTTCCGAATTTTCTGTTTCATAAGCTGTTGCTGTAACTGGTCTTTTCAGTAGCCAGAAATGATACATCATTAAAGGTAATTTAGACTTTGCCAAAAAAACTAGCTAAGGAATCTGTAATCTAAAAAAGAACGACATACCTTCTCGAACTGACTTTCTGGTTCGGCACTTATCGCACCTGTAAACAAACTCATTAATGCAGCTAGTGTATCTTTGTATACGTATGACACCTCCACATTGCCAATTTTTCGAACTTCCTATCAGTTTGTTCTCCAAACAGTAATCAAAAACAAGATCTGGGGCAAATTTGCAACGCAATAGGTGTAGAGCATCCATAATTACCTCTGGATAAAACAGAGTCACATGGAATGGTTGCTCAAGGTCATTTGTCCGTTCGATAGGTAGTTTCGGTTTGAGCTGCCACACCCAAATCTCTTTCTCTATATACACTTCTACTAATTCAAATGACAAAACAGTCTTCGCCTGATATAATTTCACATTTGGCATGCGAAATGTAAATTTTATTTATATTTAAGAAATTAATGTGTCTGAATATGAAATACACAAAGCAAAGAACTAGAGACAAAATAAAAGATGAACACAATTGAAAAAGTCACAGTAGAACAGAATGTGAATAGTAATCATGTTAATAAGCGAAGAGCTCGACCAACATTTGAACATACATATATACGCGCACACGAACACGCAGACACACACAAAACACAAGATTATCTGCAACATCTCATTAACAATGAATACCGGGACACGATTAACATGATAGTAGTACAAAACACAGTAAAGTGTATTTGAAGACTCTTTGAAGAAACTGTCAACACTTAGTTACTACTTCATCCAATTGGAGATTTGAACTTAATCGGACTTCTTGTCTTTGGCACCAGCACCTTCTAACATTTGCAAACGGTACTGAAATAAGAAAAGACAAGATAGGAAGAGAGAGTGAGTGAGTTATAAAACTGACTGATCGATTGAGTGAGTGAAATGAGTAGTATTTGCATATTATTATTTTTTTATTTTGCTTACACAGCTTGATTCCACGCCGTATTTTCAGTACAATTAGGGAATATTCAGCATGGATATCGGTGGCGAAATTTTGCAGGCCAACAATATATATATATACCAAATTCCAGATGAAAATTCCTTTAACAGGTCTCTCACTTTCTACTGTTACAGTTGGTGTAGCTGCCTACATACAATGAAGAGTCGATGGCCAGCTGCTTTTGAAGAAAGAGACAAGAGGAGCTTCTTATGAAGACTTTGAAGCCATCGCTGAGTTTGTAGGCGTCGAGGATCCAACGGGGAAGTCGGTCATGCTGGAGACGCTGCTGAGAGGTCGAGCAAACGTAGCGTACGACAATGTGGAGCAGTCAGCTGGGACGGAGACCTGGAAAGTATTAGTTGGACGGTTGATGGCAGAGTTCGACACAAGGGCAGCTGGCGATGCAGCAGTTCCATGCCACGAAGCTGGGTTGGACAGAGACCTGCTAGTGTCGGCCGTCAAGCTGACAAACCTATCTCCTTGCTATTTGATGTTCTCATGCTGATGAACATCTCTTTATATGCACATACCACACTAATGACACAGTGTGGAATTTTCAACATCTGGTAGTACAATATTGCATCTAATTTTATCGAATAAAATTTAAAACAATTACAGGATTGTTAATGGCAGTTCTTATTTGGTATTTGTAGCGACAGTAAAATCGTAAACATACAAAAAATTGTAAAATAATAATGTTAGTAGCTAAGATTACCAGTTAATTTTATCGAGCCACATTGAAAACAATCTTTTTAAAATAATATTATAGGTTTGTTAATGGCTTTTCTTACTTGGTATTTGTGATGACAGTGACGTCATATATAAATACCAAAAAATTGTAAATAATAACAATAAGGTGAATAGCTAAGATTGTCTGTTAGTTGAGATAGTCTCACCATAGATTACAAAATGGAAAAAATTAAAAGAGTCAATTATTCTGCTAACAGCATAAGTTTCACGCTTTACCTTGTCTCTATCGCATAGAACACGGGACAAATGTGGTGTCGTTGAGTTCCTATACTTTGTAGTACAAGCGTATATGATCTTTTGTAATGACTTCGCTTCACTCAATAAAACGCGATTTTTATGTAATCATAGCTGTCCACATTTTATCTCCCCATGTTAGGTGGTATAATAGGGTGATGGGATGAGACAGTGGGATGCCCAGTGTCCCCATTTCTATTTAGTAATTTCATCATAGATGTACTAATGGACTTAACCCTAACTCACTTAACCGAATCAGGGATTGACCTGTTACCAGGGCAAAACCTCGTTGACTTAAAATATGCAGACGATATTGTCCTCCTAGGTGAAGATGCTGACATAATACAGAGTCTTTTGAATACCTTAACCTGCAATCTGTGAATATGTGGTATGCGTTTCACTCGCGACAAATGTAGGATGATGCTACAGGACTGGACTACATGGACTCCTAGTTTAGAAATAGGAAGTGAAGTGGTTGATGGAGTGTGTTGACCACTTGACTTATTTGGGAAGTTGTATCAGTCCCAATGGGTTGATCTCTGACGAAATCTCAGCACGGATGCAGAAAGCTTGCTTCACATATGCCAGTTTATACCATCTCTGGTATCCCACTGGATTTCGACCAAAGGCCGTGTATACAGCTCATCAGTCCGCTCTGCCCTCCTTTATGGCTGTGAGACCTAGTCATTGAGAGAGGAAGACATGAAACGACTAGCGGTCTTTGATCATAGGTGCCTGTGTTCTATCTCCCATATGAAGTGGTATAACAGGGTTAGCAATATTGAGATGAGACGTCGAGTGCTAGGTAAGAACGTGAAATCAATAGACGAGTTGGCTGTGAATTTACATCGATTGAGATGATTAGGACATGTGTTACACATTCCTAGCTGTCGCCTTTCTCGACTGGCGATGTCAACTGACATAGAGTCAGGTTGGAAAAGACTTCATCAGTCAATGAAATCCACAAGTCAGTTTAAGCCAAGTAGGAGGGTGTAGACTTTCTGGTAGGGGTCCTGGAGACAGTAAAAACCAATACCTGGAGACAATTGGTGATATGGCTCAAAATCGTTCTCAATGACTGGCGCAGATACGTCCACTTCTTGTGACTTATTTGAAGCTGCTACTGCTGAGTTTCAACATAGAACTCTACATAGAAGTGCAGCAGTTCTCGTTGTCACACCATTTGTGTAGCACACAAAGGTAGGGGGAAAAGACGAAAAAAATTCAAAAGAACTACAGTGATCACAAATGTACCGAAGGAAGGAAGGAAGGAGTACAACACAATGGAGCGCACCCTAAACATCTTCGTTCTGTTTCCAAACTCATAATGCACTATTCTTCAATATGCATACAATCAGATGCAATCTAAACACAATCATTACGTACCCTTTGGCCATTCAATAGGTGTATTCGACGAATTCAAAAATCTTTAATTTTGGAAGCATTCAGACACCTCAAACACACACACACACACTATCAATAAATGACAAATATTATACAGATATACAAAAAGATATATCAGCAATCACAAAGCGAAATTCAGTATGATGACTAACTAACTCACCTGTAGCTTTTGGCACTCCTGAGTCACTCGATCATATTCAATATTAGTTTGAAGACTTTGTTTCTTCAAAGTTTCTAAATCTCGTTTGGTTTGTTTGTGAGCTAGTAAAGTGAAAGTTATTTTTTATTCAAAAAATTAAAGAAATAGAAAATTAATCCTTTCTATGGGACAACTTAAAAAAGTTTATCTAGAACATGCATTGATATTAGTTAGAAAGAACCATATAGAAAACCAGAGGGTACTGGACAGTTGTTTCGTTCTTGCTCGGGACTCTTCAGCAACGGTCACAGCCCACTGACCAATTATTATTATTGTATCCTTCAAACACTGTTTCAGCTTTACCTTTGCTACTGACATGCCAATGTATTGCTGTAATAATGAACTGCTGTTTCCTCAATCTATGTAGAATTCTATTTATTGATAATGTACAAACTGGATGCAATACTGTAGTAAAAAATGCTAAGAATTCCATTCTGTATCACAAGTACTGTTTTGGAATAAAGCAAATTATTATTATTATTATTATTATTATTATTATTAATTCCTACAGGAACATAGGGCTTCAGCCGTGAGTCTCCATTGCGTTCTGTTCTCTCTGACCAATAGCCCATCAATTCTAAACTCTGCCAATTCCCGACATTTAGCACCAAATCTGCTAGCTAATGTCCTCACAACGCAACTCGGCGGACCCCACTGGTCGCTTATTTCCCCCACCAAACCTCCAGGCAACTTCGTCCAGTAGATAATCACTAGTGGGCATGAAATTAATTTTTCAGAATTTGAACCACATTGGCCACTGAATCGATCAACGAGCTCACCCTGTAACCTGAATGTCTTGCGCGTTCGGTCCCTGTCCCTGGTTAAGGGGGGCATGGGTGCGTACTATTGAAGATTCCCAAAGTGAGGCAAAACAGTTGCCCAGTGTTCCTTGCTTTTCAATGGTTCACCTAAATGATACCGATCCGTGATCAAACCTAATACTAATAATCAAGGTCCCTACAAACTAGGGTACTTGGGACATGTTTCTCAGGTAAGAGGCTAAGAGACATACTTATTGTGTGTGGGCTAACGATACTAGCCAATTTTTGTATTCAAGTATACCAGTTTAAAATTGCTATACTTAGCAATACTCCAAAAGCATCTTCAACAACACACAACATACTGGCGACACCTGAAGAGAACCATTGAAAACCAAGGACTAGTGGGTAGCTGTTTCGTCCTGGCAAGTAAGTGAACTGTGTGCCACAGAGTTTAAAGTTAACTTCACTTGCTTATTTTACATGGAAGTCATCTGTGGTCATTGATTGATAGTGGAAGGTATGAAAGAGGTAGATGTCACCAACCACAGATGTTCGCCTTTCTTCTCCCGTGGTCAGTGGTATAATATAGTGAGAAATATTGAGGACCGGTGTACAGTGTTAGGTTATGGAGGGGAAGACATGTTACGCATGCTGAGCCATCGCCTGACATAGTTGACACATGATTTTTTTTCTTGAAGAAGAGTTACGAGTGATCAAATAAAAACGTGACCGTTGGTTTCACAGCCAGCCAACTACAGCCCTCGCGATACGTTAAGAATCAACGCTTGTACAGACCGTTTAATGATTGATGACACTGAATCGTAAGTTGACACTGTTAGAGTCCGACTGCTTACGCCAATGACCTATATCTACAGTGACACCTATGTGCTATTTAAACTAAAAAAAACAATAACAATAACACTTCAACTATTCAGAGCCTTACTCAATCAACCAGAACTTGGCCCTCCCACACACACACGTAAAGCCATTAGTCACTATACAATAAGTACAGTGCATGGATATGCATACATCTGCTCAGACTAATTGCTTGACTGTTAATTAGATTAGGTTGGAAGTGGACAGATGCTAATCTGTCACTGTAAGAATTAATTTACGGCTCATTAGTCGCCTCCGGGTATCTTAACCAAATGAATATAGAGAAGATGGAGGTGATGAAGACACCCATGCACCAACAGCAACAACAGCAAAGAGCACTAATCACCATCAACCGGGGGGGGGGGTGATTTGACAGAAGTCACTTCCGTCACTTATCTGGCTAGGATCCATTGTTTCAACCACAGGCAGACGGACCATCAACCTGAAACCAGTTTGGAAATCAGCTGTACTCAGTATAGAGAACAAGGTTCGGACTTTCAACACAAATGTTAAGTCAGTCACTGAAAGCATCTCTAATAGGCACTACTGAAGACTTTTACTAACAGTTGCCTTCACTCCGTGTTGAAGATTAAATGGCTAGAAAGGAATTAGCAATAAAAACCTCTGCATAACGAACCAATCCAAAACCTACTGCTCAATAACAAATACACCGAGCAGCAAAATGGAGGTGGATCAGACACACGCCACTGAGGACACAGGCCACAGATGAAATCGTGCGCTAGGCCATCTCGCGCTCGAGTGAAACCCGAATACAAGACGACGAGTTGGGTATGGATCCGAGGGCGACATGGAGGAGATGAGAGCTTATGGGCAATGGACACACATTCAAAATGAGAAAAAGAACCACTACTCAATAAGATTCTATAACACAGATCATCAATACGAAGAACTAACCTTGCTCTTCTGATTCAAATTTCTTTGTTAGTTTCGACAATTCATCCTTCAGTGCTTCTACAGTATCCGGCTAAATGTATAATCAATTTGGTGCAGAAAAAACAACACAAAGACGATTTAACAATTAATAAACAAATTGTAGGGTGAGTTATATCAGCCATTGCTGCTCTAGGAACTTGATTTTTCGTGCTCGCTCGAGAACGTCTCCCACTATGACTACTAAGTAAAGGTGTAGTGAAAGCCATTAACAGTTCGATATTGGACCATCTGGTGCAAACCGACCAGCCAAAAAGCCAGCCAGCATTGAAGAAGAAATGCACAATAGAGACAGTGTAGATGAATATGAGACAAAAGGAATAGTAATAACGACGAACAATATAGTTGTATTGGGTATTATAAGTCACAAGGACTGGGATGCATCTGCACTAGTCATTGAGAACGATTTTAAGCCATATCATCAATGGTCTCCAGCATTCATTGGTATTTACCGTCCCGACGACCCCAGGTGATATGGCTGGCTCAGAATCGTTGTCAACGTACAGTGTAGATGCATTCACTACTTGAGTGATTCGTCATATCCAATAAAACTCTATTCTTCCTCTATTTTACCAGTATTCTTTTTCCCTCACTCACACTTCTGTTTATCATATCTCTCTTTACTCTCTTCTCTTGTTTTGGATACTAAATGAGGGGAGGGGGGAGAATGGGAACTGAAACTGCTGCATATCCGTGAAAAGTCCTATGTTGAAACCAGAATAGATAATATTTGAAGTTTTCTATAGTTGGTTTGTAACGGTTAGTTTTGTTTTTACGAGTTGATCATGGGTTGGCATCAGTTAGAGAACCATTGAAAATCAGCCACAGGGAGTACTGGACAGCTGTATCATCCTAGTTTAGGAATCATCAGCAGTAAGTATCCACTGGGTTTTGAAACCAGGACCTTCCGGTCACAAGGCAAGCTCGTATACCATTCAGTCACTGGGGCCCGACCCGATTCAGTGGCCGATGAATTCCAACTCCTACCAATTCGTGATTTAGCGCGACCACTAACCAGTGTCGTCGGTGGGACATCCATCCTCACACGTGACATCTGGATGGACCTCACTGGTCACCACTTCTCACTAGAACCCACCCCAGGAAACTCCATCCTGTAGCGAGTCACTAGTGAGCATCAGATTAATTTTCTACAGTTGGTTTATAAGGGTTCGAACCCCTGTGTTGGGTGCGTACTGCATATGATTCCCAAACTAGACTGATGAAACAGCTGTCCAGTACTCCCTGCCTGGTTTTCAATGGTTCTCTAACTGATATCAATCCGTGATCAACTCGTAAAAAATACTTGAAGTAATAATGCAGCTGAATATAAACGAGTGACCATGTGTAGTATAAAAGATTATGCATGTCAGAAGATGAATGAGTAAGATCCCTCAGTACCACCTACGCATCTAAGTCACAGTAGATGGGGTGATATTTGAAGCTAAGTACTCCTCGTGTGAACAAAAATGAGTAAGTGACCAAACAAGAGACTTAAAATTATACTTTAGAAGCAGATCATCATTCCACTTCACTTTACTTTCATCATAGGTTGAACATGCTTTTCTACGTGTCTTTTTATATGCTTCTGACCGCACTTATTGATTTATCGCCTAATTTTCCCTTAGCCCACTTATGACCTTTGAAATCCTATTGGTTGTTCACTATTTTAATTTATCAATGACATTGGTGCCTCTCACAATCATTTTTAGCATGTATGTAAAAAACACAAGCATTGCTGTCATCCTTTTTCGACTAATAGTAAGGTGCCTCTTCAGTAGAATCCAACGAATATGCACTGAAGACACACTTGATGAAGAGGAAAGAAAGTTGACACGCACTCTGGTTGATAATAATTATCCAGACAAGTTCATCAAGAGATATAAAGTAGTCAGAACATCAAGACACACTCTCCAACTCGCCCCCAGGGAAAGACACGTGTACATCCAGCTACCCTATGTGGGGTATCATAGCAGCTTGATAACTAGACAAAGACTGAACACTACTGTTAAAAAGACTTTTTATGCAGCTAATATCATAATAATTGAGAATGTGAAGCCCTTTGAACATGCGAAAAATGATGTCACATCCTACTGTATTTACCAATTTGAATGTACGTGTGGACACACATACATAGGATGGAGGACTCATCGACCTCTGCAAGTAAGTGCTGGCTTCAAAGCGTATTCCTAAATGGCTCCAGAAACAGATGGAATCTTCAGAACCCATTAATGGTGAGAACAGGAGACCTAACTCCTCTATTGTGAAACAGACACAGGACATAAAATTGATGTTAACAGATCTTTTAAACCTATCTATAAAACGCGTTTGGGGAGGGCGTATCCTAGAGTTTGTGGAAGTCCTAGCTGGCAATTAGAAAGTTTAAACCACCTTTATGCGTTCAAAGCAACAATTTGTCATCACATTACACCTTTTTTTATTATAGCTTGATGCCACACCGTATTTCCAGTACAAGTATGGAATTTTCAGCATGGATATCGGTAGCCCAAATTTTGCAGGCCGACCAAAGATATCGGGTGTGCGTCGGCAGAGGATCGAACCCCGGGCCATGTGCATGGTCGGCGAGAGTCCTAACCGCTGTGCCACCGACGCACCACCAACCTTCCTTGGTAAATTGTGTTTTGATATCATAGCAGATGTACTATTGTGGTGAGAGCTGGCTGCTAGCCAAAGTTGGTAGACATTAATTTACGTCAATGTTTATGTCCCAAATATTGGTCGTGAGAAAAATAAGAACAAAGACTTTGCGTAGGCGGATACAGTTAGCATATAGATGATCTGACATTCAAGAAACAGCCACAAAGAGATGAAAGATTAACTTTCAGTGAGAAACTGCTGCTGCTGGATTCAACATAGAACTTGGCACCGAAGTGCAGCAGTTCGAGTTGCCACGTTCCAAATAGCACACAAAGGTAGACAGGAAAATCAGAGAAGAGAATCAATAGAATTTAGACAAGTATAAGAGTGAAACAGAACGAGTAATGGTAGAAAGGAATATGAAAGATTACAGAGACTGAATACATCTGCGTAAGCCATTGACAACGATTTTGAGCCATGTCACCTATTGTCTCCAGCCATTGATTCTTAGAGTCCCGAGGGTGGGCCCCAACCCGGAAGTCTGCATCTCCCTACCTGACTCAGTCTAACTGTCAGGGATTTCATGGATTGATGCCATGTTTTTGTTTGGCCATCTCTTACTCTTGCCAACCTGCACCTATATCAACCAGTAATGCCCGTCGGGGGAGGCGATGGTTAGGCATGCGCAGCACGTGAGAAACAACCAATCAGAAGACTGTGTTTGTTTGCTTAACTAATCTATAATAATGTATATGAAAATATATAAATATGCTTTGATTTCCTTAATAAACAATCTGTTGCCTGGCCCTTGTCTTCTGTTGTTACACTATTACCTCTGCTATTTGGTTTAGTGGTCTTCATTGTTATTTTAACCTTGAGTATGTCCTTTTAACTTGACCTAAGTAGTCTATTTTCTCACCTCTTACCCCTTTATTAATTTCATATATACACATTCCTTTGACACGTCCGTGTGTGTGATCAGATTGTTCGAAATGTGTTGCGCAAATACAGCATTACACGATTCAGACAAATTACGTCTTCTTATTGCTTTATCTAAATTCATAGAGGGAACTAATTGTTTTATATAACTGTAGTCTGTTGTTTTGAGACAGTAAAAGCCACCTTATCAAAACGTCCAGTCTTTTCTCCTACCTAAACGTGCAGCTAGTATTACTGTTGTTGTTGTTAGCGGCGTGCAATTAGGGCAGATTAGCCAGCCAGTCACTGCACTAAGTTTGTATTCGCTCATAGTCTACAACACTAGGTCGTAGTTCCGGGATCATAAAAGAATATTTTGCTTTTAAATAATACATAGAATGGCAATTAATAATAATGATAATAATACTTGCATGAAATTAAACTTACATAAACATCTTCAGTGTCACTGTCAGTCACTTTCGTATCACTGAGCATACGTTGAGCTGCTTCCGATGCACTTTTAGCCTGTTTAATACTCGCCTCCATACTAGCAGACATTTGAGCATGCTCCGACAACAGGCAGACAAGACGACGTAAAACACTTCAAGAGGAAAGGTAATGAATGAATGAATGAATGAATGAGGTAGATTTACACAAGAACCTAACACAGGTTCTCATGATAACATTAAAAAAATCATTATGCTGTGTGCAATAAAAGTGAGTTATCTATAGTTCAGAATAATGAGAATGAAATAATCTTAGCGTGATGGCAAAACATGTTCACATGTAGCTTAGAAAACATGACGAATTATGTTTCAGAAGTATATTCACTGGCCAACATTAAAGAATAGACACTATAGTGAAATTACCTTGAACCAGCTAATCAGATCGCTCAGCACTAGAAAAGGATGCTATTTTCAAAATCTTCGTTGTAAGTCTCACACGCCGACCCTAGTACTCGTTGCAGCTTTCATTCTAACCACAATCATAACCCCACCCCACCCCACTTTATCCTACCCTAACTCTATATCAGGATGAAACTTGTAACAGAGATTGTAAAAAGCAAACATTTGTAATGCTGAGCAATCTGATTGGCCGATTCAAGGTGACGACCGACTGTAGTGTCTGTTGTCCGCCGCTGTCTACTTACTGTATCATCGGAGTGATAACATGAAATCATATTTGATTAATTTAATTCTTCTTTATCATAGGGAATGACTAAAAATACGGTTACAAAGATTTTCTTTTCAACGAAGTCACTATCAACTAGGCTCTACATTCGTGTATTTATAATAGATGCGTGGGAAAGTTCCAGAATAATTTCCGGTCAAGAGTCAAATTAATAAAAATTACAATTAGGAATTAAAATGGCATAATAAACAAGGGGGCGGATAAAACTCAAACAAAGTAGCATCATAATTACCGAGAAAATTGACACTGATTGTGCAATTAGGCGTTAGAAATACAGAAATGACAAAAACAGACAGGATGTTTGGATAAAACAAATCCAGTGGGATCATAACTAATGTGATGAATAATTGTTTATGCAGTCAGGGATTAAATATGTAGAAATAATAAAATGACAAAATATACAGGAAGTGTGGATATGAAAATATGGCAGTGTAAGTAGGGATTAAGAAAAAATTAAACTTAACATGAACGATCAGGAAGTTTGAATAAGAAGGGCAATGGGATAGTCACTATGAGAAGAATTACCTGTTTATGATGATGGCCGTTGCAGGGATAAGGGTTGAACGTGTTTCTTTTGGATACATAGCGAGGGTTTAGGCTTTCGGATGTCTTAATTTCACTCCCTGTGATACGTTTGATCGAATTATGAAGGATTTTTCGAAAGGCTAACTTAAAACCACGCCATGTCTCCAAAAGAAATACATCCAACCGCTGTCCCTGTCATGGCCATCATAAACATGTAATTCTTTTAATAGTGACCATCCCATTGCACTTTCTTATCCAAACTTTCTGTTCGTTCATGTTATATTTAAGTTTTTCTTAATCCCTATTTCCACTACCTTATTTTCATATCCGAACTTCCTAGCTATTTTGTCTGTTAACTAATTTCTACATGTTTCAGTCAATTATTCCTTAGGGAACACGTCTCTTACCTTAGAGTTGTGGTGGAAACAAATTTATGAATATTTATTAATACACCATAAGTCCCGCGAAGTTTGAACATTTCCTGATCCCCGGTTTGCTCAGGCATCTTTCGCACAACTGTCGTTAAAACTCACTTACCCAGAAAATATTTTTCATGCACAGGGGAACAGGTGTCACACTTTTTTGTGAGTAGTGATGGTGAGCCTGTATCCAGTTGATAAAGTTGAATAAAAACTGAGATGGGATTCGAACTCAGTACCCATAACACCTGCAATCTAAGCGCGCCTACAATCATCATCAACCACCAATAATAATTACGGGAAACAATGACGTCAAATACAAAATGAATCCACAAAAATTAATGGAAAATAACACAAAAAAATATGACGACATAAAAGGAAAACTGAAAATCTAAAGAAACATGAAAGAGTCGTGAAAAAAAAACAATAAATTCTTCAACGGATTCATTATTAAACAGTGGGACTGATCAGTTTCAAAATAAATGTAATACCTTCTCTCCGATGTACCATTTCTCTTCAGCATATTCCCAGTCTTTCAAATTATTAAGACAAATGTCCTCTATTTCAGGAATCCCACACACCAAAGAGCATGACAACATCACACACTGGATAGCAGAAACCAAATCTCTACACATATCTTCTACACTCCCAATGATAAAAAACAAGCGAAAAATTCCGTCACATGACTTAATCTATCACCTCCATATCTACAACTTGCTTCCATTCATTCACAAACTTCGATATGTGCAGACGACAGACGACGTACTATAAAAATGACCACATTCATTCAATTTCAGAAGTCTTTATCCAACTCACAGAAATCCAAACACTAAATAGTCCTACGAAAAATCAATTAACATACTCCATTGTTTCAATCAAAATAGAGAAAATGCCCTGAACAGGTACTACACCCCAAATGTAGCTCAGCTACACCTGCAGGCAAAAAACTTCCCACTACATTCTTTTCATCTACTGCCAATTCGTTGTGATACTCCTCCTCCCGGTCATCCTCCAAACAAAAGACAACAAATCAAGACATTCTTCTTCGTGATGACCTACATCTTTGCCCACCGCAACGAGTGGTCCACATGAATATATACACATGTGAGGTGTGACGAAGTACACTAGTAGTAGTCAGTGACAGAATCATACAATCAATCACAATCCAATCAATCGTGACAGTACTACTAATTAGCGAGGTGACACACACACACACACACACAATATGTGTGAATAATATGCGTACAATGTCGAATCAACTAGAATAATATTGGAAAGTTGAAATTTGTCTAATGCTCCTCCTCACAACGCAACGCATTAGCAGCTGACTGACTGACTGACAGTAGGTGGGGTGGTGGTGGTGGTGATATAACCATCCTGGACACAAACATGTATTGAATGAATAAATGAATGAATGTAAGCCAAGTACTTGGTGGTGGTGGTGGTGGTGGGTGATATCACGATGATTTAGTCCTCCTCTCCTAAACCACGACCGACGTTGGTTGAACTGGTCTATTCCATATGGTTTATTGACGATGCCCCCCCCCACACGGACACAGCAAGCTATCCATGCAACCTTCTTTTTCTCTTGCATAAAGGAGGAGACACTTTGAATAATAAAAACTATCTCAAATTAACGTCTGAATACCATTCCCCCACAGGTCAATAGTATTCAGACGTTAACAACACTAACAAATACAATGATTTTTTACCACAGGGAGAATAATCGTCTCTTCTTTGTTTTGCTTTAGATGCTTGTACATGAAGAGGAGGATCTTGAATATCTTCTATTTTCGACTAGAGTGTTTCTAGGTTCATCTCGCTTCCTACTCAATGTAGCGTCAGTGCTTATAGGGTAGACGTTGCAAGGGACTTCTACCCTATCAGCACTGACGCTACATTGAGTAGGAAGCGAGATGAACCTAGAAACACTCTAGTCGAAAATAGAAGATATTCAAGATCCTCCTCTTCATGTACAAGCATCTAAAGCAAAACAAAGAAGAGACGATTATTCTCCCTGTGGTAAAAAATCATTGTATTTGTTAGTGTTGTTAACGTCTGAATACCATTCCCCCACAGGTCAATAGTATTCAAACGTTAACAACACTAACAAATACAATGATTTTTTACCACAGGGAGAATAATCGTCTCTTCTTTGTTTTGCTTTAGATGCTTGTACATGAAGAGGAGGATCTTGAATATCTTCTATTTTCGACTAGAGTGTTTCTAGGTTCATCTCGCTTCCTACTCAATGTAGCGTCAGTGCTGATAGGGTAGAAGTCCCTTGCAACGTCTACCCTATAAGCACTGACGCTACATTGAGTAGGAAGCGAGATGAACCTAGAAACACTCTAGTCGAAAATAGAAGATATTCAAGATCCTCCTCTTCATGTACAAGCATGTAAAGCAAAACAAAGAAGAGACGATTATTCTCCCTGTGGTAAAAAATCATTGTATTTGTTAGTGTTGTGAACGTCTGAATACTATTGACCTGTGGGGGAATGGTATTCAGACGTTAACAACACTAACAAATACAATGATTTTTTACCACAGGGAGAATAATCGTCTCTTCTTTGTTTTGCTTTAGATGCTTGTACATGAAGAGGAGGATCTTGAATATCTTCTATTTTCGACTAGAGTGTTTCTAGGTTCATCTCGCTTCCTACTCAATGTAGCGTCAGTGCTGATAGGGTAGAAGTCCCTTGCAACGTCTACCCTATAAGCACTGACGCTACATTGAGTAGGAAGCGAGATGAACCTAGAAACACTCTAGTCGAAAATAGAAGATATTCAAGATCCTCCTCTTCATGTACAAGCATGTAAAGCAAAACAAAGAAGAGACGATTATTCTCCCTGTGGTAAAAAATCATTGTATTTGTTAGTGTTGTGAACGTCTGAATACTATTGACCTGTGGGGGAATGGTATTCAGACGTTAACAACACTAACAAATACAATGATTTTTTACCACAGGGAGAATAATCGTCTCTTCTTTGTTTTGCTTTAGATGCTTGTACATGAAGAGGAGGATCTTGAATATCTTCTATTTTCGACTAGAGTGTTTCTAGGTTCATCTCGCTTCCTACTCAATGTAGCGTCAGTGCTGATAGGGTAGAAGTCCCTTGCAACGTCTACCCTATAAGCACTGACGCTACATTGAGTAGGAAGCGAGATGAACCTAGAAACACTCTAGTCGAAAATAGAAGATATTCAAGATCCTCCTCTTCATGTACAAGCATGTAAAGCAAAACAAAGAAGAGACGATTATTCTCCCTGTGGTAAAAAATCATTGTATTTGTTAGTGTTGTGAACGTCTGAATACTATTGACCTGTGGGGGAATGGTATTCAGACGTTAACAACACTAACAAATACAATGATTTTTTACCACAGGGAGAATAATCGTCTCTTCTTTGTTTTGCTTTAGATGCTTGTACATGAAGAGGAGGATCTTGAATATCTTCTATTTTCGACTAGAGTGTTTCTAGGTTCATCTCGCTTCCTACTCAATGTAGCGTCAGTGCTTATAGGGTAGACGTTGCAAGGGACTTCTACCCTATCAGCACTGACGCTACATTGAGTAGGAAGCGAGATGAACCTAGAAACACTCTAGTCGAAAATAGAAGATATTCAAGATCCTCCTCTTCATGTACAAGCATCTAAAGCAAAACAAAGAAGAGACGATTATTCTCCCTGTGGTAAAAAATCATTGTATTTGTTAGTGTTGTTAACGTCTGAATACCATTCCCCCACAGGTCAATAGTGCATTGCATTAGCAGCAGCAACACAATAATAAATATATGTGTATGTATTCGGACATTCTATTTCATGTCCTTCGATGTAGTAAACCAAAATCACACGCCCAGTGGATGATGATTGGCTAAAGAATATAAACTGTAATATGCATAATAACGGTCTTTGATCACTTGAAAATAATATGCATTGACTTCCGTGTTTCGCCTTCGCCTTCTCCTGTTCCGTTACACTATCTATCTATCTGTCTCTGTGTTGTCAATTAACACATCTGTGTAGTAGTGAGTGTATATAAACGCCTAGCTAGCTAGCTAGCTATATAACTAACTAACTAACTAACTGTACAACACTTTGAAGTAAAATGTAACGCAAACAGAGATCTCCTTTTGCTGGTTGGTTGGTTGGTTCACACTATAACTGGTTTGTATGTTGTGTTTGTCACGTGTGACGCCGCCGCCGCAACGACGTTCATTTGATGTGAAGTGAAGTGATGTGATGTGATGTGATCCACACAGTCTAATCTGCAAACTTACACAAATAAGTCTCCTTTAAATCATGACTGTCAATGAATGATTGACTGATTGGCATACATTCATAAAATAGAAAAGGCCATTACCCGCAGTCCCATCCATCCAGCCAGCCAGCCACATTATCGATTGATTCACGACGACGAATAGACAGAAGAAGACACACAGTTTAAAGAATCTGACTGTCTCACTGACTGACTACCAATCCTTATGCACAAGTGTATGTGTGTGTGTGTGTATGGAGACCTGGAACTACTCGTGAACAGACGAGGTAGGCTGAACTGTACTCAAGCTGTCATCATCCATCCAGTGGTGTGAGTATGACTGACTGCATGCATTAATTAGTGTCTACCACTACGACTACATTGACTGGAGAAGTCAGTCAACATGGAGTTCATCAATTCTCTCCATAGTAACCCCCCTATCTATACTTATAAATGTGTGTGAAATATAAATAAATAAATAAATCCTCCTGATGACAGTGAATATTTTGCTCACTTTTAATTGTTTGTTTCCACTATATGGTGGGTGATGATTGTTGAGGAATTCGAGATAGTTTTTATTATTCAAAGTGTCTCCTCTTTTATGCAAGAGAAAAAGTAGGATGTATGCATAGCTTGCTGTGTCCGTGTGGGGGGGTCATCCTCAATAAACCATATGGAATAGACCAGTTCAACCAACGTCGGTCGTGGTTTAGGAGAGGAGGACTAAATCATCGTGATATCATCCACCACCACCACCACCACCACCATTAGCAAGTACTTGGCTTACATTCATTCATTCAATGTATGTTTGTGTCCAGGATGGTTATATCACCACCACCACCACCCCACCTACTGTCAGTCAGTCAACTAATGCGTTGCGTTGTGAGGAGGAGCATTAGACAAATTTCAACTTTCCAATATTATTCTAGTTGATTCGACATTGTACGCATATTATTCACACATATTGTGTGTGTGTGTGTGTCACCTTGCTAATTAGTAGTACTGTCACGATTGATTGGATTGTGATTGATTGTGTGATTCTGTCACTGACTACTACTAGTGTAATTCGTCACACCTCACATGTGTATATTCATGTGGACCACTCGTTGTGGTGGGCAAAGATGTAGGTCATCACGAAGATGAAAGTCTTTATTTGTTGTCTTCCGTTTGGTGGGTGACGGGGCGGAGGAGGATTATCGCCGCGATTTGGCAGTCGATGAAAGGGATGTAGTTGGAAGTTCTGTGCGTGCAGGTGTAGCTAAGCTACATTTGGGGTGTAGTACACTTTAGGGTATTTTCTCTGCTTTGATTGAAACAATGGAGTATGTTAATTGATTTTTCGTAGGACTATTAAGTATCCGGACTTCTTTGGTTGATAAATTCTTCTGAAATTGAATGAATGAGGTCATTTTTATATCACGTCTTCTGTCGTCTACACATATCGGAGTTTGTGAATAAATTGAAGGAAGTTGTTGATATGGGGGTAATAGTTTAGGTCATGTGACGGAATTTTTCGCTTGCCTCTTAGTACACTCAGATGAATCAGCGATTAACAAACACACACTACAATAGATCAAGTTTACCAATTAACGAAACAAAAAAATAATAAATTACATGACAAGTTGAATTCCAAGTCAATGAAAACAATCAGAAGAGATCTAAATCAACAATTATCACCAATGATATTCCTAATTGTGGTAGACTGGATTATGCGTCAGACAGTGAGGATATCCTGGACTGACGTGAACAACCTAGAAGACCTGGATTTCGCCGATGATTTATGTTTGATGTCACACAAAATCGAAGGCTTACAAGCAAAAACCGACAAACTGGTCAAAGAAGCAGCAAAGACAGGACTGCAGGTGAACATAGACGAGACGGAGGTTCTGAAAATAACCAACAACAACAACAACAACAGCAACATCCAGCACCAATCACCATCAACGGGAGGGATTTGAAAGAGGCTACTTCATTCACTTATCTAGGAAGCATTGTCTCAACTACAGGAGAAACGGACGGACGAGGATGTCAAATCGAGAATTGGGAAGACGAGAAACACATTAATCAACCTGAAACCAATTTGGAAATCTTCGTCACTCAGCCTGCATCAACAACAAAATTCGGATTTTCAATACAAACGTCAAGTCAGTCAGTTCTTCTATACGCATCTGTCTGTCTGTCTGGATTCAACACAGAACTTGGCACCGAAGTGCAGCAGTTACAGTTGCCACGTTCCAAATAGCACACAAAGGTAGAAAAGAAAATGAGTGAAGAGAATCAATAGAGTTTTGACAAGTATAGGAGTGAAACACTACTTCTATACGCACGGATCAGAAACTTGGCGGGTCACAAAGAATATTTCCAACAGTCTGTTGCAGACCTTTATCAACAACTCTCTTCGCTCTATACTGAAGATCAAATGGCCGCCGGGAAGAATCACCAACAAGAAACTATGGGAACAAACAAAACAAGAACCAATCGCTCAACAAATATGCAGGAGAAAGTGGAGATGGATCGGACACTCACTGAGGAGGCCGTTGGCTGACATCGTGCGTCAGGCCATAGCTCGAGTGGAACCCGAAAGGTAAGCGGTGAGTGGGACATCCAAGGGTAATATGGAGGAGATCGTGTGAAGAAGAGCTGAAACAGTATGGACTAACATGGATGCAGGTGACAAGTACAGCAGAAGACAGAAGCAAGTGGAGGCGTGCAGTTGAAGCCCTATGCTCCACTAGGAACCCAAGGGAACAATAATAAAATAATATAATAATAACAAATTTTAAACAGAGGAAACATCAAAAGTAATGTCAGGGAGTTTCTAGATGCCTCCTAGTACACTCAGATGAATGAGCGATTAACAAACACACATTACTATAGTGAAAACAATTAGTCCCTTTGATAAATTTGAATAAGGCACTTAGAAGACAAATTTCGCGAGATGATATCGTCATTTCGTAGTTTCTTTACAACCACTTTACAACTAGCATGGTTAACAATAATAAAATAAAGTTCATGACAATTACTCAGTTCAATAAAAAACAAAAGTACATACATACTACTAATAACGAAAGCTTTGCAATTAAACCATCAACCAGCTCAGAGAATACAACTAAATCAAAATGAAGTCAACTGAGCTGGCTTCGAGCCCGGAGCTAATTGACTGAAAGTCCGGTGGTGCTTAATCCAATGCTTCAGATCTTATGAAGTGGTTTCTACACACAATAAAGGAACCAACACAAATTCATTACCAGTTGAATATTAATTAATTACATGTATGAATCACTTAGGTAAGACTTTCTTCCTTAGGTCCCATGAGTTCCGAGTGTGGAACATAAGGGACTGCAAGAGTTGGGCTTCCAAGTTTCAGTAGCAGTGCTTTCATTTTCACGTGGTGGGGTGCAGGGCGGGGGGTTGCCAGCTTCACCCAGCACAAATTTCCCCCTTTGCAGGGGTTACTATCGGTTAAGAGATGGAGTTAGCAACGAGCAACTGAATAAGTAAACCAGCCAAGAACCCACACTGGGGAGACCGTCCAGTGGTGACATTGCTCACTAGGCCATAGCTCGAAGAGAACTCAAACAGGGAACGACGAGTTGGGCGTCGCTTTGAGCTTGACATGGGGGGAGGTGGTGCGAGAAGGAGATCAGGGACTATGGGCAATCGCGGGGACAGCTAAAGAGGACTGCAGAGAATAGGACAAAGTGGAGATGTGCTCCTGAAGCCCTACATTCCAATGAAAACAAAAATAAGCGAGGTTTAAGCGTGCTTCGGTCGGAAATTAAACCCCGAACCACATGTTCGGTTGGTGAAGTCAAATTAACACAGACAAATTAAAGACGAAACACTTATAAGAAATTGTAAGCGAACGCAAAGCATGTTAACTTACAACCATGTGAACAGAGAGAATCCACAAATATACAAATTTCTTTGTGCTCGGAACATTCGCATCAAGTACAGCGATTCCGTTTCAGGACGTAATTCATACGGATGAGCTTTCAACGTATTGTACGCTTGTTTTTGTGTCCATGAGTTACGGACTGCTTCTGTAAAATAGAACGAAGAAGCAAAAATGAACAAACAAACTGCCAACTTGTTTAATGCATCAGTAGTATATAGTTAATACATAGTGGGATAATAACTGGCGATAAATTAAGAGATATGCACAGTTAATATATGTGTAAAACTAGGGCATTATGCAATGACACACTTATTTATTAATTGGACACACTACAATACTATTTACCTAGAGAAATCTAGATCCACATTGGCCCGGTACCAGAAGGACATTGTCTAAACAAGCCAATGAACATGTACCAGTATGGATAAGATTTTATTTTGATAAATTGTCACACAGTGGTGTTATACAGTAATATTAACTGACGACCACCTTACAAGCACAAACTATCACTGCTCATAATCATATCAAGTTACCCACACAACTTTTTTCTTTCATTTATATACATGAGTGGAATTGATGATTAGATATTGCAATAAAAACCAATATGGGATAAGGTACATTCAGAGATAATAATATGAGTGTTACTGATCAAGTACAATCAGATGGGAAATAAGACGAGTGTTTTTTATAGTCATAATAAGTAACTTATTAGAATGTTGTGATGTGCTTGAATTCAAATAGAATTTTGAGATTATTTATTATCCTCCTCGGATTTTACTGACTGGTGGTAATAATATCTTCCTTATTTCTGGTATTTGCGTTGAGTCACTTCTATTGCATGTGTTGGGTGTAGACTCAATGAACCAGGATTCAATAATCAACTTCTCTCTCCACCTATCTAGATTACTTTTTAGAATTATAACCACCTTCCATCCTACTGTGATTGTGTTAATGCATGATATGAAATTGCTGAGATGTCTTCTGAATTACTTATCTTCTCGGGGTCAACCATTCTTACCTTGGCTAAATTCTTATGTTCTGACAATCTGACTTCCCTCTGATCTATTAGTTTGACCTATGTAGTTGACCTCACAGTCATTGAAGGGTATTTCCTAAATTATATTTATTTTGTCTAATTGGGTCAACTGGGTCCTTTAACCTACAGAGCTTGTCCCTGAGTGAGTTTGTAGGTTTGAATGCCACCACTGTGATTCCTGCTTTATTAAGAATCCTATGTAGGGAGGGCCTCAGATGTTCCCTCTTTATATGGTATAACAGTAGATGACTTATATTCTCTCTTATTTATGTTATCATTATCATTATGAGTGGCAATAGTTTGTGCTCGAAAGGTGGTCATCAGTTAATATTACTGTGTAACACTGTGTGATTTATCAAAATAAAATCTTATCCATAATGGAGTTATACTGTGCCACAGTGCCCAAGTTTTATACTTATATCAAGAACACTTACCAACATGATTGTCAAAAGGAGAACAGTCAACAGATCAATTCTGGAGCATATTACCACTTCTGGACAAGTATTAGCACTAGCAGAGGCTACCTTCAGTTGTTATATATAAAGTATGACCAAGTGGTTTGAAAGGATTTCGCTTACATTTTCTCCATGCAGCCGAAGCCCTAGCGATTTTCCGAAGGAGATATCTCAACTTTTTGTGTTGTTGTTGTTCAAAAACGTTTCATCTGGTCTCTTTTACTACCAAATCATATACGATCAATACACCCTCTTGATATAAGTATAAAACCTCGGCACTGTGGTGGAGTGTAACTCCATTATGGATAAGATTTTATTTTGATAAATCACACAGTAATATTAACTGATGACGTTTCGAGCACAAATTATTGCTCATAATCATATCAAGTTACTCACACAACTTTTTTCCTTCCCTACTATGTTGTGTGAGTAGCTTGATATGATTATGAGCAATAATTTGTGCTCGAAACATCATCAGTTAATATTACTGAATAAAACCACTGTGTGATTTATCAAAATAAAATCTTATCCATAATGGAATACACCCTCTTCCTGATTTAATGCTCGTCTGGTTTTCTCAAGCTTGATTCTCCTTAGCACCACTTAATCTACACATGATTGAGTGTAGAACTTTAGATACCATATCAGTCAAGCTAATCCCTTTACGACTATCACAGAAAGACCTGTCTGCTTTCTTGTATACTGAGGTAATTAATGACTTACACCAGTCTAAAGGAACTATCTCTGATTCACAGACATTGCCTGATACCTTAGTTAACTCAGATAGCAACTTGTCACTACTGTCCCTAAACACTTCTGGAGTCATTCCACTAACTCCTGTCGCTTTACCTCGTTTCAAATTAGAGTCTTTGTAGCCTCAGTTACAGATGGTGGACAATTCTCTACATTTTATTCAAGTGTTGAGTGCTGAGCAAGTTGAGCGTGGTTGTAGGCCACTTATACTGCACTTCAAAATGTCCCCTTCCAACATTCCAGCCGTGTATCCTGGCAGCTTAAATAAGGGAAGAACTTTTCTCGGGGATTGTCTCACTTATCATTTTCTTTTGCCGCCTGTTTCCTTGATAAGTGTAAATAGTTATCTGGTGTTACCTATCGCTGATGTCTTTTCCATATCTTTCGCCATAGCAAAGACTTATGGTCAGTTGGCGTTTGAGCAGTTTTCACTCTCTATCAGATATAGTCCACTTCATATTTTTGTGCGAACTGATGATGAGTCCCGAAATGGTAGAAAACACCTGCATGTACTCTTTTAGTTATCAACAGTTCCATGGGTGACGTCGATTCATGATGCAGTTTACTTTGAAACTACTAAAGAATGACAATCAGTACTTAAATTCAAAACAAATTGCATAGCAATACAAAACAACAGATATCACTCTATAAGGAAAAGGTGTTAAGAGTACACGTTTTTTTTCACTTACCGGCTAATGCACAGGCCAACATGACAAGAAATAAATTGAAGTAGAACGAGGAATTCACAGCAATTTTTTGTATGATACCAAATTTAAAAAATCTGCTCCATCTATTTTTTTTTTCAGGAATAAACAAAGAAACTTGTGTATTTTTTTATTTAAGTCTTACGTTCGTGATGAAAAAAGTGGTAAGATCATCATGAGAACAATGAATCCCTCGCCAAATAGGAAAGCTGAAACCAAATGCCAAAGCATTTTTCTATTCTCTACAAAGATATGAAATAGAATCGAGAGGAGAAACGGAAATATATGTATATATGTAATATCATGCAAATTGCAAATCAGGGGATATAAGAAAACGAAAAATTTGCTTCACAATATTTTCTTTACAGAAGTGTCACTTTTACACAATTTAAATGACAAGATACAGATGAAAATATTCACAGTATATGTGGCCAGACAAACAAGACAAATGTCTTTAAGGACGAAAAATAAAATATAACACAGGTAAACTGAACCCATTACAGACAAACATGACAGTAGGAAGAGTATACGAATAATGGTTTTCGATTTGAAAGAACCTATAAAAATGAAATGGTGCGCATAAGATTTTCATTATTATGTAATGAATTACTTAGTAACATCATAAGACAGTAGTAAATCACACCATACACTGGATTTCTTTGTGTTAAGATGATATTCCCACTAGAAGTTCCCATTGGTAATCCAAGTCCTCGTCCATACCAAAATAAAATAGAAGGAATAGAAGGAATATAGTCTACACAGTGTCTTACTTTGATGTTAGCACCTTGGAACAGCTCATGCGTTCTGATATATCACAAAGAGCACGATATGCTTTATCCGCCTCCTTGGAATACTCGACATACAATGCATATATGCATATTAATATACCAAGGACACAAAAGAAGCGTATTGATCGAGAGGTTTTCGTAGACATTTACCGAGTTTTTGTTGATTTTTCTGCACAAAAGCGGAAAAATGGTGTTACTACAAAATTTATGCTGGCGTTTCACTAAAAGCACCAACCTACATGATAAACTACACTGTCTAGTTACATTCACCCAGGAGTAAATTCTAATCTTTACCAACGATAGTTGCTGGTCGAGTTTAAATTACTAGGTACAAAAAACTGTGCGAGATGTACCTGCAATCTTGAACGAACTCACGTTCCTTCTGGGAAATGAACCTCGGTGGAGCAGTGTTACAGTCAGAGACATTACTGCTGAGGTATTCACGCTTAAGAGAGACCCCCTGCAGGAACGTAAAGGACACTGATTGGATACTAGGTAGTAACCGATATTAAGCGTCTAGTTCCTTATTCGGTGCAAACTGAATTCTACCAGTCTATCAGGAGCGACATGCATTCCATCAAGACAACATACACATTGCTGACCAGTGCCATCAAGTACAAAACCTAGATCCAATACTTCCTGCCGATTGCCACCAACCATTTAAATTTCCACTGCTGAAGTCAATACAATGCTCCCTTAAAAAATTGACAGTCCTTGTGAAACTACATATTAATGAATTGCTTAAAAAGCACATTTATCGAAAAAAGCACTCAATACTCCATATTTAATGTTTTGCTTGGGTAGAAGTGAAATGCTTAAAATAACACAATTCTATTTCCGGAGCTATTTGTTGCAAACATGAAATACATCAGAGCAGGATTAGACAGCATGTAACCAGCACTTCGTGTGAATATAAATCACCAGAGTACTTGTTATGGCCAAAAACCAAAACTTATAAAACAAATTATCATATGGTAATTAGCCTAACTATGCGGTTCGAGAAGGAAGAGAAGAACCAAGATAGCTCCACAAAATACATTAACCCTAAGTGAACGCTACTAAGACAGTATCTGGACTCCCCCAGTCTTTCAGTCGATCTTACGATAAGCCTCTAAAGTCTCATTACATTGCTGGGCACAAAACTAGTGTTCCACGTTAGAACAGAGCAGTATCCTAACACGAGAAATGAGTCAGCTGGTAGACGCGAAAATAACTCCAGGCAAACCATAACATAAAGGAATAGTGCCTCAATATCAGTTAAAACTGATAGACTGCTTCGCCACAAAAATGCGAAGTAAAACACCAACCACACCAACACGACACTCACATAAAGATACTTCGAGAAGTTCAAGGTTATTTTAGTACCGTCCCAAGGACTGGACGTGGGCACAACTTCACTGAAGAAGAGTAAGGACAACTAAAACAAAAATTGAACAAGCATAAAATTTCATTTATCTTGAGAGGTAAAATCAGTCGACAATGATTAAAAGTCCCGAAGAAGCTGCAAATTTTTTTCCCTCGGGATCTTTCATTAACTTGACTTTTTACTCTGATATTTTGTATTTGCCGACCTCGCTATTAAGTCCCCTACAAGTGTAGCATTTTTTAGACTGTGAAGTGGTTCAGGCCTGCCTATTTATTTTTTGACTCTAAATGTTACTGTCCTAACAAAGCAGCAACCTATGTGAAAAAGTCAGGACCTCTACGCTAAGAAGAACCATAAAACAGGAGTGGAAGACGTAGTGAATAAGGAAGTTTGTAGGGGTGTCCATTGTGGCTCATTTGCGTTCCGGGACCAACGCCAAAGTTTCCGCTGACTACAGGCATTCTACAGTATAAAAAGCTGCTGGGATGAAAGAGTCTCACCAGACTTTACATTCCGTGACAGAGGGGTCGAAAAAAAGAGGTTGGCGTATGCGCCTACTATGCCACCTTACACTCTTTCTTTGTGCTGGTTACAGGCACATCTTCGGAGTCCATAGTTCAGCCATTTTAACCAGTTATATCCCAAAATCTTTGCTCTGCATAACCTTAAACAATTCGTCTCGCTTCACCAGAATACATCGCTAAATTACTGGTCCATTTTGACTTTTGCTTTGTTATCAGAGCTGATTAAATGGATAATCAAGCACATTTCGTTTAGTAAGGCTGGTAGGCTTGCAACGACAGAAGACAAGGGCCAGGCAACAGATTGTCTGTTGGGAAAATCAAGAGGTATATGTAGATTTCCATGTACATTATTGTCAGCAGAGAAGTAACGCTTTCTGATTGTTTGTTTTCTTGCTGAAGGTTATTTTGTACTACTTGTGACAGTTTCTCAAAAGCCCAAGTTTTATACTTATATCAGTTTTTCAGTAAGTTAAGCCGTATTTTCACACGTTCATTCTGCTGTGACTGGTTAGTGAGTTCCTCAAGGTTAAGCTTTGTTATTGCTTTTTCTCATGACCCCGATTCGGGACGTGACATTGGCATAAATTGCTGTCAACAATTTGGGCGTTTTTGCGGCCAGCTCTCACTACAATGTAACACATCAATAACACAGCCAATACCTCACAAAGAGAGAAGACTATTCGCAAGATTTTGCCTTTGGTTCCATTATTTTTCAGTTTTCGACAATAATTCGCTACCACCTTAGCACTTGCTCTAGCATTTTTATTTATATAATCGTGGTATTTTGTTATACTTAATCGAAACAACCTATCATGCGATGGCTGCAAATGATTACTGGGCATTTAGCAGAGATTTTTCCAGTTTTCGCCTCCTGAGCACACCAACCATCTGCACGGTTGTCCTATATAACAGCTCAGTTCGCACTGCGGCATACTCACTCACAAGAAATTAGATTTAACTGAGTCACTGTGAACTTCTATGAATACATTACTGGAAATGTTTCCAAGATCATTGAACATCCATCACCAAATCCGAACAATCTATTTAGATTCAACCGCATCAAGAGATCTGCACTTACTGACTGATAAAAGGTGCAAGATGTCTACCCTTTAGATCTCAGGCTCACCTAAGTGCCTTGTCAGATGAGACGGCCACTGGTTGATCCCAAAACCGACTTCATTTTCCCCTGATAAGTGGGACCGCAGAACTTGCCCCAGGCGGTGCAAGGAACTCACACACCTTTCCATAACTCATGTTAATAGAGCTAAGAGAAGCATCTGACAGGACCATACAGAATATCATGCTGAGCATACGTATTTTGGATATGACATCTAATGGTTGAAACAGTCGGTTTCCCACTTCAACCAGTGGATCTTTAATAGCCAAATACTGATCGATAAGGAGTACCAAATGCAGCAGTTTGGGTTGAACACGTGCGTATTCCGCATTTAGTAACCGGAACTATCCGAACAACTGCCTGAATTACCGACCAATAACATACCTAAGGCACTGGTGTAGTCTGAATGTCCATTTGAAAAGCATAATGGTGCACAAGTGAAGCGAAGAAACCCAGTCAAACACACGGGAGTGTATTCATTATTCAGTATCAGTCAACAGAAGAAGAAAAACTCACATATCATTAAGAAAATACAGCTACTACATGGTTAATCGTCTCGTCTTTCTCAGCTTATTAATCACTAATTAAATCGAAGTGACCATAAGCTTGTGTGGTGATGAGGGCCTATGCAAGCATCCCACCCACACAGAAAGGCCTTCCTTAAAAATTCCTCGATTAGCCTCTCTTCTGGAACTAATCCGCAAGTTACCTAGTAAATGCATTCGTTTTTGCTTGACTATTTAGGAGCTCAGCTAGAACTCTGACGTTAGCTAACGAATCACTAATTCGAATCTCCAAAATATAAAGATGCGCGACATACGCATTACATCTATAAGGAACCAGTTAGGGCAGTCTACCCAGCACATTAGAATGAATTCGTATAATATCACCCGCTAACCTACTTTATATGCCATCTTTCCTACTGGAGTCCTATACAACACTTTGTATGTTGCTTCTTATCGTATGCTTCATGTGCCACACAAAATTTAACGTGTGCAAACTAGTTTCGCTGTCAACATATCACCTTCTTGGTCCTATATCTGCAGCTTTCTCATTAAATAAATGAATAAATAAATAAATAAATTTATTCTCATAGTACAGTACATGAGGGACGCCAGTTTACAGGCATCATCAAATTGTTACAGAAATAGAACCATATAATTCAATCACAATTTACAGGCAGTAGCAAGATATGCTTTATATGTTCGCTGGAGATTATACATACACTTGATAAATGTTAATCCCAGTAGTATATAACAGCCTTTTCACTTATATACAATCATTTCTGTGCACAGTTGGAAAAATCTGCTAGGTTGTCAGTGAGTGCAACACGTCAGAAAATACAGAAGTATTGTCTTCGCATTAACAAAAAAACCAGGTCTTTGGTGGATGGATTATAAGTGCCTGGGAAAAAAATAAAGCTTGAAGTAAATATT